ATTGTAGAGCCTTCTCCATGACCATATTTTGAGCACTTGGTAACCATTTCTCATTTGCAGCAGTTTGCAGTGTCCCATGGCAATGACCACGATTTGTGAGTGCACAATTTGCTTAACAACCATCATAAATATGCTTGCAAAATTGAGTCCGGACACATGGGTGCCTCAGACTATGATTGCATTGACTTAAGCCTGACATTCCACTCCCAGTTGTGTCATCAATTGAAGATTACCTATACATACTTGTGCATGGAATAATCTGTGTGTGTAATAATTGGCATGTCTCTTATCAGTTCTTTTTTCCTTTTCTATGTTTCTTATAACACACCAAGTTGTAATGTGCAAGCATTTGAGAAGGAATTGGACTAGAAAGTAGAAGTAGCATTAAAAATTAAGGTCAATTTCTTTTTTAAAAAGTAATAAAGGAATATATTTTACCCTCCTGAATACGTTTTTTGAAGTGCCTGTGGCTGTTTATATTTTCTTTCATTATACTGCTTTGAAATTAAATATACAGCTGGTTCCTACATTTAGAATTTCTGCTTGCAATACATAAGCACAAACTTCATGCTATCATATCTATTATGAAAAATAAACATCCATGGGTGTATTAAAGAAAGTCATCCTATGTGTACTTTAGTTTGTATATGGAAAGTTATGAGTTGAATTTTGATAAAATTCTAATGTATAGAAGGAATAGGCTAGGGTAACCTATGTACTCAGATACAAATATGAAAACTTCTGCTATTTAGTTTTCTTCCTGCTACTTATATAGATTACTGTGATTACAGTTTTGTTTCCTGATGATATTTTAACTTATCTAACTTATCTGAGTCATTGAACTGTCCATGTAATGTCAGCCATTTTTACTAGGATGGCCTTTAGTAGTTAATGGGGTCAATCATGTCAGCATATGATATATGGATTACAGCAAGTTAAATCGCTAAAGTAGACAGCTGATAAATAAAAATACACACTGCTTTCTCACCCCTTGCCCCTTTTTCTGAAGTCCCAGTGTCTCTTATGGAAGAAAGAATTGCTTTGAGGGATACATATGGATAGAAAGTTATCATAAAAGTAGGACGTCCATATTTATTCTTTTGAATGCTGGGAATATGTTACATAATTTTATTTAAGCTGTTCTTTGACTGACAAAAATTAGAAAAAATGTGCTGTAATACCAACAGAGATAAACTCATGACTTCCAGTATTAGCATAACTTTTGCAAAATGAAGTCTTGGGGGAAAAAATATGAAAATTCACAGCAGATGCCCATTGTAGGCAGTGTTTATTTTCTATGAAATTATTTGTGAGGTGAATCCCCTCCCCAATCTCTACAGTTCCAATTGTAATACAATCCAATGTAATGCTGTATAATCTAATCTAATCAGATATGCAGCACACTAGGTCCTGATATATAAAGCTATTTTTTGGGGGGGGGATTATGGTAATTTGCTACAGAGAATTGGCAAAGAGAAAGAACTTAAAAATTGGCATTAAGAGGGAAGCAAAAAGCGCTGCAGTCATTTCTCTATTTTCCCCTTCAGCTCCATCAGTGCTTGTAGCATTTGAATGATGTGTGAAGCACTTAATTCTTAACAAGAGATGGAGGCAGGAGAAAAAATAATTTACATTTTGTTTCAATTACTTTAACTTTGAAAGTTAAATATAGTTAATGTGATCATTCTTCTAATTGATATTCCTCTCTTCTGCTTATATTATATTGTACCTGTATTTGGAATTTCACAGTTGGGAATTTTGGAGCCTCAAGTTGTGCACCATTATTCTGTGGTTCTATTTATTTTTTGAAGTTTGTAAAATAGTATTATACCAATAAATTACAGGATAAAAATCACTTTCTAGGACTAGATGATTATTGAGGAAGTATCCCAGAAAGCTCTTCAATTCTTTGGTACAAGAGAAAAATTGCAGTGAAGTGTTGGTTCTTCCTAGATTGGAAGTGCAAACAGGTTAAAAAGGCTTCACCATCCTTTGAGTGTAAGCCACTTTCTTCCTGCTTGTCTATTGAAGTTGATGGATTTTGTGCATCAGGTCTGTAATTGCTATGGATTGTGAGTTGGTTCACAGTCTGTATGGGACACACTAAAAATATGGTTACAGCATGATGCTGAACACTCTTTGAGTAGTGTTTTGAATTCATTTGCCTTGGTGTCTGAATTATTTCATTAATTGTCACTGAACAGCCACATTACAACATTTCACTAGGACTGCAGTATAATTTAATTTTTTAATTAATTTCCCCTTTTTTCCTTTTCCCACATCTTATATTTGGTTAGCTGGATTTAAAAAAAAATCAAGAGTGTGCTTGAGTGTATGCAGATCCTGAAAACACATGAAGTCTACTAAACTTTTTACCCTTGAGCCATGAAGAAAATGGCCACACAAGTTTTTGTTTCAGTCTACATGTTTGTCTACAGTACTGGTTCTAAAGTATGATCAATAGGTTTATTGTTGACTCCAGTGTCTTTAAAAGCATTGTGACCTTATCCTGTCTAAAAATAGCATACAGTCCTGTTGCCAGGAGAACCTTGACCTGCAGGAGCCTATTTGGAATATAACTGACACATCCAGTCAGCTGTATATCTGAGACACTCTTGGAGGACATATTCTGTCCAGCTTCATCCTATCGCTGACTTAGGAGTTCTTAAAAGGGAAATGTCAGCATTTGCCAGAAGATAGCTGGTATGGTCAGGGAGTAGTGGCAGTATGCTGCTATAGACCGGAGTTTTGGATAGTATCTTTGACAAAAGATCAGATGCTGAAGTAAAAGATGGAATATTTCTTCAATCTCTTAATGCATTAATAAAAATCTGTGAAATACCCTATGATAAAGGCAGGCAAGTAGCAACAAGAGGTTTAATTGACTCTGAAAATCTATACAAACTGGAATTAGCAATCATTGAAAAAAGCTGAATTGAAATTTATTGAATGATTATTTTTAAAAACCCACAAGTAAGTATATCATGTTGCTAATAAAAAGATAAAATTATGTTTCAAATTCTTTTCATTCCTCAGAAACATTACCTTTGTCATAAGGGTAAAGCCAAATTATAACACCTCCCCCCCCCAATCTTCTTAGGAACAATCTGTCCACTTCAATAATATTTTGATTAAATATATCTAATCTAATCTAATCTAATCAAATATGCAGCACACTAGGATATAAAACTATCTTGGGAGGAGATTATGGTAATTCTCCAGCACAACAATTGGAGAATTTACAGATGGGTTGGCACATGCCATTCTGCCCGGAGACTGAGTCCATAATCTTTGCCACACCCCTTGTCAACTGTCACTTTCCCATGTTCATGACTCAGTCTAGCCTTAAGAGGTTGTGGCAAAGATTGGCTCCTCAATCTCTGGTTAGAAGTGTGGATTCTTCGATCTGTCATTTGTGCTGGCAAGTCTGTCCTTGCAGTGCTTTTAAAACATTGCCGAAGCTTTTTTTCTGCTAATTTTTCTTCCTTTTTTCCGGCTTTCTAGCCATTCCTTGTAGCTTCCTCCCTGACAGCAGTCCTTTGTCAGGGAGATTTTTCGTGCATGCGGGAAGCCTGCTGTCACCTGAGGCGTTGCTTGCCCAGGTGCGGCCTCTTCGAAGCTCCGCAAGCCGATAAACAGCTGTTTTTGTTTTTTCTTGAATTTTTTGGCTTGCAGCTTCTGCGCCTTTAGAGGTTAGCCTTTTTAGCACCACTTGCATTCCGGAGGCTAATCTGACAGCCTCCTTTGCCTGGATTAGTCTCTGCTGCCAGTTTTTCACAGGCAACTTTAGGAATGCGGAGCTACAGGAGGAGTGTGCTGGCTACCAGTGCTGGTTTGCCGCCACAAGCCCAACCCTACTTAGCTCCATATTAAGCAGCAGCAATCAGGAGACTAAAAAGCTGTCAAGATGGTTGATCAGTTTCTGATGGCCAACAGTATTGCAGGGCAGGAAGCCTTTTCTTCTTCTCTTCCTCCCAATAAGAGATCCAGCTCCAGAAGAGACAGATCAGCCAACCAGGAGGCAGCTGGCAAAATTACAGCAAAGGTCATCTTCTCTAGAAAACCTTCTAGAGCTGAAGAAAAAGATGCTGACAGAAGGATGAAAGCTTTGGAGAAACAAATTTCCAGAGTGCAGAAGAAGGCTCTCTTGCCTTAGCTGAAGCAGTTATCCCCCCTCCCCAGCCAGCTTTGCAGACTAGTTTTGCAGTTCCTATGAGCTGGTCACCAGAGGGTGATAGGAATCATTTCTCTATTTTTCCAACTGAAGATTCAAACAGAGCAGTTTCCCTTTGACTGTAGGGCAACTGGGGGAGCTGATCCCTAGATTAGGCAGAGATCTTTAACCACTGAAGTTACTTTTACCCCAACTGCGGCGGGGTTCCATCCAGTAGAGAGGCAAGATCCTGGTCTATCTGAGAAACTCAAAGTCCTCATTTCCCAGGCTATCTCCCATGGAGTGGCCAATACCCTACACCTCAGAAGTCATGCTGCTTCTGTTTCTTTTGAGACCCATTCCCAGCAACCTCATCACTATTTGTATGCTAGGGAGGCTGAACAGTCACATAGGGCCGCATCCCCCATTCACTCATTCAGGGATAGGACATCTGTATTGGGGGAGGTGGAGTTGGACCAGGGTTTCTCAGATGTGATGGCCCAGGGGCCTGTTGTATGCATTCCCTCCTCTCCCCATTATACCAGGAGTAATCAGGAACCTTCTCATGGAGCAGGCGGAGCTCTTGCTTATTGCCAGACAGCCATGGTTTGCAGACCTCGTCAAACTCTCTATGTCCCAGCCTTGGAGAATCCCTCCAGACAGGATCTCTCTCAGCCAGGGGGTCTTGGTCCATCTGGAGCCTCAGTGGCTCCAACTGACCACCTGGCACTTAAGAGACAGTTCCTGATGAGGGACAACTTTTCAGGAAGGGTGATACAGACAATACAGGCTTCCAGGAGGCCTTCCACCAACAGAATTTACAATTCTACTTGGGAGGCATTCTGAGGTTGGTGTGTTGAATCAGGTCTGGACCCCACAGCAGTTTCCATCCCTCAAATCCTAGACTTCTTGAAAGAGGGTCTGCATAAAGGGTTAGCTCCTAATACTATCCGAAGACAAGTAGCAGCCTTGTCTTCAGTATCGACTTATGGGGACTTAGACTCCATAGCGCATCATCCGATGGTGCGCTCCCTTTTGTGGGGGGTGGTTAATTTAAAGCCACCTGTTGTTCGCACATATCAAACCTGAGACTTAGCTAAGGTTTTACATGCCATTACCTTACCACCCTTCGAACCTCTCAGGTCTCTGAGTCTGCGGTTTTTGTCCTTTAAGGTTGCCTTTTTAGTCGCCATCACATCGGCTAGGCGAATCTCGGAATTGGTGACTCTCTCTGTAAGAGAGGAACTCTGTACCTTCCATGCAGACAGGGTGGTTCTACATCTGGACCCCTCCTTCATCCCCAAGATCAACTCCTGGTTCTACTGGGCCCAGGAGATAGTGTTGCCAAATTTCTGTCCAGGTCCTTCCCATCCATTGGAACAGAGATGGCACATTCTGGACATAAGGAGGGCCTTATGCAGGTACATAAAACAGACTTTGCCTCACCAAAAATCCAAATCACTGTGTGTCTCATTTCAACCTTCCTCTCTGATTCAAAGGTCACTTCATTGACCATAGGCCGTTGGATAAGGGCATGAATTGCAAAGACCTATGAGATACAGTCGATTCCAGTCCCCAGACTATTAACTGGTCATTCTACTTGAAGCGCTGCTACCACAGCCGCATGGGCAACACAGGCTTCGATTGAAGAGATCTGCAGGGCAGCAACATGGTCCTTACCACTATAAGTTGGACACTTTGGCCTCAGCTGAGGCTGTCTTTGGGAGGAGGGTACTTCAGCAAGTGCATGTAGCTAGGGGGACTCAGGTTCACAATCCCCGCCCATAGGGACACCAGGCTTTGGTATGTCCCATCCATGGATTCTCCAATCCTCGTGCTGGAGAAGGAGCATTGTCTTACCTGAACACTTCTTCTCAGCATGGCGATGGAGAATCCACTCCCTCCCTAAGAAGCAGTTAGGTTCTTCATCCAGCACAGGAACACCGGAGGAGCCAACGCCACCAACGGTTCCTTCAGATGCTGCGCCTTTGTCGTGAACTGGGGAAAGTGACAGTTGACAAGGGGTGTGGCAAATATTATGGACTCAGTTTCCGGGCAGAATGGCATGTGTAAACCCATCTGTGGATTCTTCATCGCCGGGCTGAGAAGAAGCGTTCAAGTAAGACAACACTCCTACAGAATCAATGCTACAAAAATTGGCAAAGAGAAAGAACTTAATTATTTATTAAATGAAGGAATAATTGTTTGATATTTTTGAGTAAAAACTGGATTACCTTCATCCTCTTGTACCATCCAAATTTCATCCAAAATATGATGAAACTGTCCCATCCATATTGACAAACTATAGTTGTTAAATGATTTTTAAACTAGCATTTGAAACTACATTTAAACTATGGTTTCCACTTCTGTTTTGAATTACAAATTGAGGCCATAATTCCCATAGATTTGGTTTGGTATGAACAAGGAAATCAGGAGGACATAAGTAACTATAGAACACAATAGGAAAAGTTTGGTTTATATGTCCTTAGGCCCTAAATTATGCAACTTTTTCAACTCTCTTAAGATTGTGCTCCTGAAATTTGGTGAAAAAGCTCTGTAAAACAATGGAACAACTGTCCATTTTCATATAAAATGTAAGAAGTTAATATATTAGGATACAAAAAGTTGTTAAAGTTAAGGTTAAAATAGATTTAGAGAATTTGTGGCTCATTGTGTTGGGGGAAATAAGCATGTTAAGTGAAGCAGGTTATTACATAAATCAATAGTATGGTATTAGTTGCTTGAGTATAGCATGCTAAGTGTACCCAGCAATTGCATTATGTCATTCCAGATTTAGAGATTATTGTTGTGTGACCCCAACCATATTTTACTATTACCAAAAAAGACTAAATTTGCTGTGGAAGAGGAAAAGCCTGAAAATTCAACACAGTCTCCTATGATAGCCATTAAAAAGAAATAAAGTACACCTTTGGTGTACCAGAATTAACTGTGAATTTTGTATTTTGAATTTTGCATGAATTTTGTAGCTCACATAATTTGCCATTAGCATGAGCATCAATATTTTATAGTGCTAAAATATTATACATTTTATTACAAGTTACAATAAGTGAAGTAATAAATTGCATTGGGAGCTGTCACTTTTTTTGTATCAGATTATTTGAAAGCCTCTGTTGTATACAGTGAGTGAAGTTGGAATTGATCTCTCTGCTTCAGAAAAACAACTGCAGCCAAGCAGAAACTCCCCCTGCCCCCTTCTCTCATGCATTCAGATAGGCATTCAAACTGGTGTCTCAGCTACCTGGCTAATCCAGCCTCACCCTGGTGTTTTCAAGGATGTGCAGATGTCTAAAAGTAGCCTCACCCCACCAAGCCTTTTGAGTTTACCAAAGTAAATGCTAAGACAGAATGGGAGGAAGAGTCTGTGTAGCAGGAAAGGTGATAGCAAACCATATACAGATGGGGAAGCGGAGGTGACATCTGGAGATTGACAGCTGTTACAAGCAGGCAAGAGGACTTTGATTCAGTGGCCAACTGCCAGGACTACAAGTTATGGTGAGCAGTACTGGTGGAAATCCTGCCTGGAGTTTGGAGCTAGGCAACCACTATAAAAGGAACATCCACAGTTAAGCAGCACCTCGTGCAACTAGTGTAAGAATGTTTGGGAAAAGACAAAGGTTTTATGCTTCTTTAGTGGCTTTAAAATTTTAGTTTGAACTGAATATTAAAAGAATAAGTATTAAAGACATCTTTATGTGGCAATATCACATTGCAAAGCCTAGCATGGTAAGTTGACTTAGAGCAATAACTTGTTGGGGAAGATGATAATTTGCTGTATAGTTTGTATAGGTTTGCTATGTTATGGTACAGTGGTGGGATTCAATTTTTTTTTACTACTGGTTCTGTGGCTTGGTGGGCGTGGCTTGGTGGGCGTGGCTTGGTGGCATGGCAGGGAAGGATACTGTAAAATCCCCATTGCCCTCCCCACTCCTGGGGGAAGGTTACTGCAAAATCCCATTTCCTCCCCATTTTTAGGGGAAGGTTACTGAAAAATCTCCATTCCCTCCCCACCCCACTAACCTTTTTAGCTCTGTTCTCCTGTGCAGGGCAACAAAAGAAGACTCAGCCAATCAGCTGGGATTCGGGAGGCAGAGAATAGATAGGGGAGGGGCCAGTCAGATGTGGTATTTGCCGGTTCTCTGAACTACTCAAAATTTCCACTACCGGTTCTCCAGAACTGGTCAGAACCTGCTGAATACCACCTCTGTTATAGTATATCTAGTCCTTGGAGAACAAAGAACCATCATGTACGTAGGGTAATTCCCTGCAGTAGTTCATCCATCATAGAACAAAAATATAAGAAAAGACTCATACTGCTGACCCTGCGGAAGGTTTGTCTAGTGCTCCAGTATGGAGCCAATAGCCAAGCCAATACATCTGGGAAGCCTGTGTAAACTACATGACTTTTAGATATTGGTAACTGTTCTCAACAGACACTAACAGTCTTTACTATATCTGAAGTAAATAATTTGTGTAGATTAAGTTCCATAGATTAAAAAAGAATATCCAGTCTTGTGGATTTGGTACTCCCTTTCTTGTTTTGATTTTAATGGCAGTGCAGGTCTTGAAAACTAGTGACCCATTCTTTTCTGTGATTTGTGTTCAGCCACCCTTCCTTTCTCACTTATCTCTGACTTAAAGTTAATTTTTGTAACTTGTAATTCATATAATCAGATCATCATTCTTGATTTTGGAATATATATATTTTGGCAGCAGAAGATTAATCAAGACATTATTAGAGGAGCAAGGATAGTTTTAGATATATCAATATATAATAATTTACTGATTTAATGTTAATAGTGTATTTGCTTAGTTAATCAACACGGTTATCCTTGGGGTAAGCTGAGACCAATTTGTCTGCAATCTGCTTTAGAACCTGAAATTTAAACAAGTGCTTTTTGGGTAATCAGGACAGGCAAGCTGGTCATTGGTCATACAGTTTATTCAATAATTTTATATCTATTTAAACATTAGAATATGTTTTCAAATGGCACACTTGGCAAACAAATTATAATTATATATAAATTATAACTTTCATTTTTTCAACTTCATAGCCATCTGGGAGAGAAAGAAATTATGGGAACTGGGCATTTCTTCATGATGCCTAGAAACCTTTAACAAAAGTTTTATATTCTTTGCATTCTTATTCCAGGTAATGTTTAAATGGATGAAAATGATGGGGTTAACTGGGGAAGTGGGTTAAATTAGCAGGGAAAAGCAGCAAAATTGCACGGTATGCACTCTGCACCTGTCAGTACATCCTTTAAGAACTTGTACCTGTTACATTTATT